ACAGTTAGAAAGAGAAGGAAAGGATGCGTCGGACAGTGCTTAGAGCGTTTCCCAATCTTCGTTCCACGCGTTTTTATGATAGGTTGAAAAAACGGACAAAACTTTCGGGACAACCTAATATTACGCTAGTTCAGGTCTAATCAATTTACTTCTCTTCCCAATCATTACATCTTGTTGACTTGCTCTTAATTGAATTACAGAAAGTGAAACTATTTGATATTCTTTCGGAGTCATTGGACTCTCCCCGGAATCATTTGGGCAAGGTTGATTGGTATTACTGCACCAACCGAGCCCCGCTTTGCTTCATTATTGCAAGAGCATCTTCTGCTGGCAAATGAGTTGGCATGATTGCCATCTCCATAGATTACAATAACCTAACTTGATCACGCTCACGTATGAGTTATCCATCATTACAACCCTTATTGAAATTCACTTGGAGTCACTGGCTCACACTGGTTTACTGGTTTGGTGAGGTCAGATAATATACCCACCATCAAATCTTGTTTGCTTGTTAAAATCAAAATATTTCGCTGGCAAAAGGGGGCATGGGTACATCTCCATGAATCGCATCATTTAATTCCGATAATTATAATCATAGAGCAGTCAAATACTAGCTTTCATCACATTTTTATCGAGATTAGACCTAAACTAATGATGCACTATCGTTGCGGTGAGGGTATAAATGACTGCTTTCTATTCTATTGTATGGAACGCCAAGAGCGTATAGAATAAATAAATAAATAAATAAAAATTTGAAAGGATTTGATCAGCGCGTAGTAAAAGCGCTCACGGAGGAATTTCGACGAGATATGCGATCTTTACATTTTGGGAAAAATTCATGACAACGTGTTTTCGTAGGCTCGTAACTCGGCGAATTTCACAGACTGGAGCCTGAGTAATGCACCATTCGATAGCACAGCTCCTAGTAACTTTGACTGAGAAAAGCAAGCAGGCAAGGTTTCTGACAGATACGCGAGAAGTGCGGCCAAAATTACGCACTTTCATGATGCAGTTACAGTCACCTCACCGTATCTCTCCAAAAAGACCCTGTAATCCTCAAAGACCACGATTTTCGTAAAAAGCGTGTTCGAAAACCTCTATAAGCGAAGTTTCCCTACAATTCAAGAGCATCAACATTTTGACCAAAATCCATCGGCGAGCTTCTGGAGCGTAAAACGAGAAAAAAAATGGAATAACCCGAAACATATCGGAAAACTTGCTCACAGAGGTTATCCGACCTGCTGATTTCGAAACTCACATCTGCTTAGCAAGATAGCTTCGTATGCTGCGGCTATGGCGAGTAGAATTTGGGGCGTCAAGATTTTTCCACAATTCACCAGCCGTTCTATTTTCTTTGAAAAGAAACCTGCGGCTACTATTTAGCACATCATAATCTACAGAAAAAGTGCTATCGAAAGATCCTTGCTGGATTTTACTCGGGACAATGCTCGCTGCTTTACACCTTCGCGAAAAGACGTCCTCAGAAAGATTCAAGAATACTGAAATCGGAATATGAAGGGCATGCTGTATATAGGAAGATTCGCCTTGATGAGCTGAGCAAGGCGCTGCTCTCGGATTCAAAATATACACATTCCGAAGGAAGTTATGGCGAGTAGAATTTAAAAACGCGTGATTTTTCCAAAATTCACCAGCACTTATATATCCTTTGGAAAGAAGTCTGAGCCTATTTTCTAGCGCACAATAATCTACAACAACAGTATTATCGAAAAATACTTAGTAAAGTCTTCTATGTTGGGTAGGGTTTGCTTCACATATTCGCGAAAGGACTTCCGCAGAACAAATTGAAAAAACTGGAAACGGAATATCGAAGACACCGTACCCCCACTTCCATTATATTAGAAGATTCTCCGCATCGAGCTGAATCGAATGTTGGCTTTGGATTCAGAATTCGTTCACTCTGAAGCGAGATATGGCCACGCGACGCTGATGTATGGACATGTCCATACATGTATGGACATGTGCGGACATGTACGGACATGTCCATACATGTATAGACATGTCCGTGCATGTATGGACATGTCCGTACATGTCCATACATGTCCATACATGTCCATACATTCGCGTCTATTTTTCAAAAAATGTGAGCGGTATTGTAGTTTTAGCTGCGAGCATACCTTCGATAGTCAAGAGACAGAGGCTAGAAAGCGATAGTTGTTCGAGCTCCTGCCCCCTATAAAAAGCGAAGGTTGTTTCAGAAAAATAGATGGAAGTTTAGAGATACGAATTAGACCAAGAAACTTGAAAAATTTACGTAAAGCAGAGGCTAGCACACCACCAAATTCAAAACATTAACTTGGTGGTTTCCTACGCACAGTTTCCTCTACAGAATTGCCGGTTAAATTGGTTGGCAACAAGAACAAAGTTCTTTTCCAATTAAAAAAAGCGTTATTTAGCTTGGCGGTAGTTGGGAGACCGGAAGAAGAAAAACTTGTCAACAGCTGAACTGAACATGTTAAACACGTCTAAAAGGATATGTTGCAAATCGACGCCAATCTGATTTTTGATGCGTCCTTTGAATTTTCACCCCCCGCCTAGTTGTTTCGTATCCTGCGACGTTATCTAGATTCTTCCGCTCATTATTCTGAGCAAGTATCGTCCAAGCTGGAAAAAATTCGTTGCGAAAGTACTGAAAGAGAACAAGGTAAAGAAAAACGCACTTTTTAGTAATTTTCACAGAAAAAACCGGCATAAGCAAAGAAGTAAGCTCGGCGACATTGTCTACATTATAGACAGAAACAAGACCTATCCACTGCATAAAAAAGCCGATTGAAAAGAGTTAAATTGAAGAAAAAACAAAAGGTTTTCGAAAACGGCGTTTTTTCGAGATTTCTCGTTCAAATCATAAAAAGGAGTCCCGCAACGTTGTCAGCGTGAAAATAGAGATCAAGAGCTTCAATATGATATATAGATTGTCGTAATTAGGCGCCGAACAATGAAGAAAAGGGTACAGCCAAATGCCCCGCGCCCCGCATTTGAGGTAGCGAGGTAGCGCGCAACGCGCGGAGACGCAGACGAGCAGCGGAGACAGACCAGAGCCGGCGGGGCATTTGGCTCTGGTCACTGATCTCCACGGGGTCATAACGAAACCCTATAACATTATATATCGTTGTGATCCTCATGAGACGGCCAGGAGCAATGACAACGTCGCGGGTCTTGAAAATCACTCCATAACGAGATAGATCAGCAATTATGTGGCGACTCCCTGCGCAAGATTTGAGCACAGTTTCTCGTTTTTACTGAACCCCAGCGGCTTTCATGAACTTCCAACGCTCAATCGCAGTCTAGAGAAAGGTCAATTGAGAAATTTTGTCCTGGTTTTTAATTGAATTTTTAAATAAAAACCTTCTTTTCAGCAAAAAAGGCCATAAAACGCAATCCTTCGGTTTTTTGAGGTTCCTTTGGATGTCATTTGTCACTGCTATATTTGTCTCATTCACATTCATCCCTGTACGGTTATGTCATTAGTTATTTCATGATATCAGGGGCTTCGCCCCGGATGACTTCTGTACTTCTCTCCAGGTAAAGGTTGTGTTCTATCATGACGCTCAAAGTGAAGGTTACCAGAGTACATGGCTCTATGTATCGAAGGTATGGCTGCGAGTTTCGATAGATTCACTACCGACTCTGAAATCTGATTTGCACACGTCCAAACGAAAGATGTATGTACTGAGGTATTTCTGTATTTATCTTAAAAATTGGTTCCGTTCTTTACCGGTATCTTCAACCTTTCAATCAAAACTGATAGCTTTTGTTTGAGTTTGAGTATAATAATTTTATTCTTCGAAACACCCAGCTGATTACTTTACGATCGCATGAACACTACTCGCAGAATTTCTATTAATGAATGTATAATTTGCAAATAAGCCTACGCACAGCTGATGATATCTTCCGGTCGAATGTTGTAGTTTAGTTGCACTTCGGTATCGTTCTACATGAATGCCCTTCTACGAAATGTTTATAGTACTACGCGCTGCACAAAGACCGCTTCAAAAGACATGACGTTTACAAATCTGTCGTCGTTCTGGGTTCGGTACATACTCGTTTCTACATAGTGAATGAGTCCTTATGTGACATTCAAATAACTCATAGTACGCATCAAAACCATACAGGTACATTCTTGCCAAAACCACCAAAGAAAGGGTTCTAAAAAGTTGTCATTTACTTAAGACAGCACAATGACAAGCTAGAAGACTGTGCCTACATACAATACCGCTCACATTTTTTGAAAAACAGACGCGAATGTATGGACATGTATGGGCATGTACGAACATGTCCATACATTCGCGTCAATTTTTCAAAAAATGTGAGCGGTATTGTACAAGCATGCCTCATAAAACTTCACTCACTCAGACAATCGCAAGTGACTTCCGGGGCAAATTGAACCTCTAAAAACCTTTCAGGGGGACGCCCCTATTGTGCCCTGTGAGTGGGCCCCACTTTACATACCTGGCCTTTCCCTGCCTGGCAGCTTCAATAGGAGTGTCCCCATGGAAGTTTTAGAACTTCAGTTTGCCCCACAAGTCATTTGCGATTGTCTGATCAGAATTTTCAGTAGTCCATAAATTTGTCCTTCTACCATCAAGTTCTATTGTTATCGTAGTGGGTAACCCATGCTCTTCAGTTCTGTCATCCAAAGTATAGGTGAGATGCACATTGCTCGTATCATTAGATACAAACTCCCATCTCCTATCGTCTCAGCTGGAGGAAACAATTCAAGCTTGAGGTGCAATATAACACTGCAACTGAGAAAAGATAATCTAACATTCAATCTAGATAATCTAGCATGTTGACAAACGTTTCACCAACAGAAACAAAAATTCAGCTGTAAAAAATCTACTGCCTAGAAGACATTTGTTGTGTTCTTTCACTGCAAGATTTTCACAGTACTAATATTTGCACCAAATACTTCGTTCTGACAGAAAATTTTGAGCGAAGCTATACTCTGTAGCGTGAAATGGCATAAGAAAATCAAGGTTTTTCCGGACTTTTGTGCATCACCTTATAGCATTTTCGACAATGTAATTGTGATTGCAGCCAAGTCATTACGATCCAATATGTACGGATACACATAGACCATTCAAACTACGCTTAACAAGATCTACGATTTCAAATAAATGTTATGGAGAGTCCTTGATAAATGTTAATCTTGGTAACGTAACGAATACTACTGTAAGGATTAAGGCGCTAAAAACAAGCGACCAGAGGAAGCGGATATGGACCATTTGGATTTCAAACTTTGTTTATACTGTACATGTATACAAAAGAAAGAATCAGAGTTTTGACTGCGAAGTGAGAGATTGACCAACGAATTCACATACGAGAGAGATCACTTCAGATGGTTTCAATTTCGCCATATCGGAGGGAGAGAACTGAGGCATGAGTTGGAACGGAGGCATCCTCTGTAAGACTCCGATAGCAGTCATTATGCACATTAGAGCAGTCACTCCGTATGTGTGAGCCTCTTCAAACTAAAAAGTTGATTTATTTAGATAATGAAGAATAATGTTTTTCTATAGGACATCAGACAAGTTACAACAGAAGCCTCAAAAATAATTTCTTTTTTTTTGAAATCGGATTTTTTTTGAAATCAGCAAGTTGTTTCAGATTCAGTAATTTTATCTGATTTGAATTGGAAAGGAGATCATATTCTAGTACCGCTTAACAGAAAAATTATTTTCGTCATATCGAAGCAATAAAAACTGATTAAAACAAATATTCAAATTATTTGAATTTGATCGTTAAAATGTTGGAAGGTCCAGCAAGTTTTTCCCTTTAGTTCAGGTTCCATGACCTACGTTTGAACTAATGAGGAAAGCTACCTAACTTAGCTCGGCGTTTTGGCAAGGGACATATATGATCTGAATTGGTTTCAAACGCTGATTCCAAATATGCTATTCCTAGCTGCCGCGCACTTTTCCGAAGCAAGTTATGGGCTTTTTCCTGCGCAAGATTGGCATACTACTGGACATGGGAATGCTGCCAGTAGATGAAAATCTGTAAAAAAAGGGTGCTGAGATATTGAAATAACACAAATCAGTCTATTCTCACTAAAAAGAAGCTTAACGGAAGTGTATTAGCACTTATTGTTAGATGATGATGCCGTGATCCGTGATACCAGCAGGAGTCGATAAGTATGCCATTCTTGCGCAGGAAAAAACATAACCCGCTTCGGAATGGTGCTCGGCAGTTAGGAATAGCATATTTGGAATCAGCGTTTGAAGCTGAATCAGAACATATATGCCCTTGCCAAAAGGCCGAGTAAGTTAGGTAGCTTCCCGTGTAAGATTCGTACTGATCGGATTCCTCTACGAAAATTTATATCTGTCCTGTTTTTGTTTGTTTAAAAGACATTTTCTAGTACTGATAAACTCTACAAATATTGAATACAATGAAAAATATGTTAAACATCAAAAAGATGACCTAAGCATTTCCGGATCTTTGGAAAAAACCAAGTTAACTTTGTGGGATAATTTGAACGCTGTTTTTGCAACCCTTTCGACATTTCGGAATTACGATTTTTCAAAAATGCTCTAGCGGTGTCAAGCCAAACGCATTCCGTATTTCTAGGTTCAAAGCGATGACCGACCTCAGTCTTTGACATTGAGGCATTCGAGACAATTTGTCATTTACGCTTGTAGGATGCGCGGATGCGGACAAAGGTGGCCGATCGTCGATCGCGCAGCTGGCCACCCGTTTCGTTAGTCATTCATGGCAAATGTTGCGTTGCGACACAGCTGCATCGCATAAAAACATCTTGTTCATTCGAGAAGACACCTCTTCCTTATGCGCTTCAGCAAATTTGAATTGCATAGAGAAATTTCGATTGGGCAGTCTTTTGTGCTAAAGTCTTTGCGAAGTTTTAAGTGACTTTTACGCTGCCGGTTTCAATGCTGATTTAGTATGTAGGAGCACAATTTAGAAGGGTTCCATGTCAACGACAGCCAAATCTTGCTCCAAAACACTTTGAACAGCGGTGAAAAATTGTCACTTATTATGCTAATTCCAAATAGATTCTCTCAACTGAAGCCTCTGGTGTAAGATTTATGCCAGAAACACAGCAACAGGCGTCTCTCACTTCGAAATAGATCATCTAAACCGTTTTAGAAACCCTGTATAAAGTCATCTCAAAAAGTGAGCGAGCTTAAAGCCTCCTCAAAGTAATTAGGTGTTTTGTAAATTTTCTGAAGTGTTGCATAGCCTGACTTGCGATAAAGCCATTGTGCTAAAAGTCTCTAACGCACGTACGATTATGGAGAGCTACCCGTGGTTTGCATTGTTGCTTGAAACAGTATCTAAAGTTACCCGAAAGAACTCAAGAAAAGAAGATTGTTAATAATCAAACAGTGGACAGATTTTGAGACCCTGTGTGTTCCGGAAAGTTATGTAGGTTGACCTCAGACTATTTTATGAGCAAAACAAAAAAATTGGATACAAGTTTTCAGACAAGCACTATCTTTAGCTTGGAAGTTCAAGAGTTTCCATAGAGAAGAGCGTTTTCAAATTTCTGAACTCCCAAGATCTCCTTGTCTTATCGTTAGTAGATGATCGTCTTTAAGAACCATACTACTACCTTACTGCCAATATCTCCAGATAACGGATAGAAAAAAACTAACTCACCGAAAAGCTATGTATGGAATATTTGTTATCGATTACAAAAGACATATGTACTGAATCGTCAAGAAATCGCTCGAGTGGCATCCAGAATGTGTCCTGCACTTCATCTGCATTCGGTCGAGGAAAGAATGGGCGTCTGTAAAACTGTATTTATGCCCAAGCTGTAAATGCACAAAGAAAAAAGTACATGACATCAGCAAGAAATTTCGGCAGCCGATTATACACCATGCCTTTCTGATCACGATCGTCCCATTCTAATCCTTCTGCTTATTATGAACTTTGAAATTTTAGCTTCGAGCCACATGATTTTCATAAAGTGAATGATCGATAAGCTGATATTAAATTCGTTTAAAAGAATCTACAGATTAGAAATTCTATGTAGCGGCTCAAAAAAGTAGCTAAGGGATGTTCTGCAAAGTGAATTCCTTATCTCTGTCATTTAGATCTCATGAAAGAGGAAACCCTAACCAGGTTTCAATTCCGCCATATGATCAGATGAGGTACTATGATGCCATAGATGAATCACGCCAATCAGCGAACACTGAACCAATTTGGATATAATGAAACCGGAACATACCTCAATAAGGCCACTGTCGGGTGAATAAGCACTCCAAAACGGGCTCTGAAGGGTGGTAAACTTCCCAGCATGATGAAGTCGTCACGTACAAGGCCAACTTCCTGAAACATGCTATTCATTTCGCTTCGGTAATCACTATATCTGGTGCTTCATAAGCTAACTCCTCTCTAAGCAAGAATTTCTGGCAATGAGCAGTCCCCCTTTGCACTTGCTGGATTTAGTCAAAAGTGAGGCAAACTTTTGACTGTCCATTTCAACCTATCTGCAAATCGGGTAAATTAATACTACCCAAGTCCTACCAGTCGCCATGTCATCGAAATGATATTTTCTCATCTGACCAGAAAATCCCCAGTAGACCCATAGTAATTGTCCTGCGTAACTCTAGCTGGTCTTCAAAAGTTCATTTAAGAGTCAGAAAAATTGATTACATGAAAACAAAGCAATTGTTGAGTGCATACTTTTTCAGGTCCTCTGAATTTAGCCTTTCGGTACTTATCAACTGTTTTTGTAAGCCCGAATTTCTGAAATGCGTTTAACAAAAATACATTAAACCCTACGAAGTACTCGGAACTCGAAAAGCTTCGAATGCCGTACAAGTAATCATGCAGTTACAGTTTCTACGTACCGTATTCGAATTTGGGCGCAGCTATGCGCAATCGTATAAATAAAGGACAGTGATTTTTGACCGAAAATTTCTGCGACTATTTCAGCAACTATGTACAGGTTGGTCATAAATCATAGCTGTTGGGGAAAGAAAAAATGCGATCAGTACCAGTCACTTGTCTATCTGTACTCTGTCCTCATGTTAGCAAAAAGCCAAAATGACACACCCACAAGTAGAAAATCCATATGTATAATGAACCAGGGTACAACCTACCTTAGCTAGCCACATCAGTGGCCGTATTCATCAACGAAACCCGTGGGTTCTGGAACCCACTGGGTTAGTGCTTTTGATGAATATCGATTCTTCCCTGGAGTAGAATCGATATTCATCAAAAGCACTAACCCAGTGGGTTTCGGAACCCACGGGTTTCGTTGATGAATACGGCCACTGGTGGCCAGCTAGGGTAAGTTGTACCTTGATTAATTCATGTGGAATTTTTACTCTGTCATTTTTCTTCGCTGATGTCGTCTACTTACTTAATCCTATATGGCCACTGTGCCGACAAAAACTTGCTTTGTTCGTTCCATTTACTTTGTCTCTAATTCTCTATCTTTATCTTTCTACCTGTATCCCGCGTTTTTCTGTTGATTTTTGAGAGCACGCCAGGCGTATGAAATAAATAAATAAATAAATGTTCGAGAAGAGAACTAAAGCTGAATTACTTCTGACTCGCTCATATCTCCGACAAATGCGATCACTTATTGTGAGAACCCGCTCAACATTCAAATCATGGACGACAGTATATCACTGCGCTTGAATGGCATAGCGCATCCCAATTGAGGCACTGATTAGCAGAGGTTACTGTACCATCTGTGCTGTAAAGACACCTGGCTCATAGCCATAGGAGACCTCCTCCGTCTCGGCCACAGATCGCATTCCTCATGGCCTTCCATCCGTATTTCGATCACTTTTCACTTGCTAGGCAGGCGAAGAATGCGATTTATGGCCCAGTCCATAATTCACGCGTACAAGAGCGCCGAACAAAGACCCTACTGCTCTGTCTCCCACGCTCGTTCCTCACCGCCCGGCTTGACTCAATTTTTCACTTAGCCGGCTTCCAGTAATCCGTCTATTAGACCGGTTATTCGATTAGCTCGCAAGACTAACCCCCCTTCGTTTGCATACGATGGCCGATTTTGCGACACATATGCTGCAGCTGTCCAGCTTTTTAGGCTGTTAGTACTACTAGTCGTAAGTAATAAGCGTCGTGAATCAACTCCTCCCTCGAGCGAGCGCTCTCTCATTCATACCCAAGGGGAATGCTGACTCATACGAGCGGCTATACGAAGTGCTATCATTAGAGCCGTGTCACCAGCCCCCAGCCACAAATGCTCACTTCTTTCTTTCATCTGTAAGGCATATGGTCATACCTCAGTATAACTGCTAGGGTTCAAACGGAAGAGTCGTACAATTCCATTTTCGTGACTTTTCAGTTATTCGGTTTTTCCCCGTTAAATTTACATTTTGTCCTAACACATTTTGTTACATTACGGAATTCATAGCTTTTTGAAAGATTTTTTTCTTGATTTCAAATCAAGTGCAGTTGTAGTTTTTCAGTATAAACTTGAAGTTTTTTGGCATTCAATTTTTGATGCCGGAAAACTCTCACTCTTGATGAATCCCTACCTAGCGCTATATAATCTCACTTCCACCTCCTCTTATTAACACTGATGCTACCGAAAATTCCAAAAAATCGGAATGGTTGGCAAAAAGAGTGAGAGTTTGGAAAGGTAAAAATAAGATATTTTTATATTCAAAAAAGTGCGGATATACTTAAAGCCTAGGAGCTATAGCATACCCAGGATTTCTGGTATCTCTTATATCTGCGATTTAGCTGGCCATTTGAACTCACACGCACATTTACTTTTATGTTGGCTACATTCGAAATATGAGTGGGTCCCGTTATAAGCAACTGGCATTTTCCCAAATCCCGCAGGACTAGAACACGTGACGTACGCGTAGAAGCGCAAAGCTCCTTAGCTCATTACCTTTTGCAGAGTAAATATTGAAAGAAGATCAATGAGGAAAGGTTTCCAAAGACCTCCACCATCAGTCCTTGAAGGCACCGTCCACCCAGATTCTCGACTTCCAGATTTTGTCGTTTCAGGGCCTCCTCAGGTCCCTGATTTCAAATATGAAGTCGAGAATCCGCGAAAATCCCGAAAATCCCCATTCCAGAGAACCCACAGGCCGGCCTTTTAGACGGTGATTGGATGAGCGCGCACAAATGGGCGGGCATGGATGGGGAGGGGCGGGCATGGATGGGGGTCCTCGTGCATCTTCGCTATTCCGAAGCGATTTTCTCGCTTCCGAAGCGGCATTTTGCGCCGAAACTTGGGCATTGGCTTGATAGGAGACCTTACTGTTATATGGTGCTAAAAGCTCAACACCCTCAACTTAGGGTGGACGGTGCCTTTAATCGCATTTTAAACTTGAGCACAATATTCGATAAAAAATGTAACCTATAGCCGAACACGATTACATATCATTATGTGCAGTTGTCAAGATGGAGTTAATTAGAGTTATATGTGTTTTCTTTCCGTTTTCTAACTCGTTACAACTGTATAATGTAAAATGTCTGACTACATATCGTACACCTACTGTTTGGCAGATACGGTCCTTTCGACATCCCAGAAAACGTGTAATTGCACACATTAGTACGGAAACTTACTCAACTATAGGCACTAGATAGTGTGTGACCGAAAAAAAACTGACCGTTTGATTCCCCCTCCCATTTCCAGGAGTTGGGTATCATTATTTGTGAACTAGCCTACATGGTGTTATAACGCAAGTGACTCGTTTTGAGTTGTAAACAATCGGAATATTTTTCAATTTTCCACATTTTGAGATACGTAAAAAATTAGGACGGGCTACTCCGCGCTCTTCTTCTAAGAACTCGGGGTTAAGGCCATTAAAAGTTTTCTAAAACAACCCAGAATATTTTCCGGAGAGGGCGGCTAATGCTACGATTTTACATCCAAAAAATTTTACATCCATTTAAAAAATCGTGACGATGGCGCGACCGCGCGCTACACGCACGCCATTTCGGAAACCTCGTTTTCTTGGTTTTCATCTCTAGCTGAATGGTTTTTTGCTTGCGTATGAGTATTTAGACACTGGAAGTGACTGAACTGACACTGGAGTGATGTCTTCTTATATGAGCGTTTTGAGCATCTGTGGGTGCAAAGTCCCAGTTAAATCACGATTTTATAAATGACCTATAGCTTTCTCAAGCACGGATACACCCTGAATTATGAGTAGACGATTCGTAACGTCTATTTCTACTTGTATAGCTGTTATATGCATGAATCATATAAAAGCATTGATTACGTGACTTTAGTGTAACGGATGTCATATTGTCGTCGTAGTTAGAAGTCTTGCTTCCGTTCAGGAAGCTTAAAAAACGCCAACCTATTTGAATTTGCCCCATCCCCACTCCACTTCCCTGCTTACGCTTGCTAAACACAAACAAAACCTCACCTCTTCCGCTTCCCTAATCGCAGTCTCTTGCATGTTTTCTCCATTGTCACGCATCCCACCGGGGAAACACACTTCTCCTGGATGTCTCCGTAGCTTTTCGGAACGGATACATAAGAATACCTGATAATTGTCGGGCACTCCATCCAGCAAAATCAGAACGCCGGCATCCTGCAAAGAACTTAATTGCAGCTCGGTAGCATTAATTAGCAGAAAAAGCACCTGATGACCATCTGGCATGTTAGGCTCTGGAGAGAGTCTCAGAAGTGCACGAAGTCGATCACACTCGTCTTCCATAGTTTTCTACAAAAACTTAGGGTGAATATTTGGGAATATGGCACACACTGAAAATGCTTGCAGTTTATCAGAGCAATAAACCAAATATACTTTAATGAAATGGAAACAAATGACAATGAACACACCGGCATGATGCAGGAATAATAACCTGGTAAAATTTTTTTTCAATTTGAGACACAGCAACTAGAAAACCATGAAAGTCATTTCCAATTTTCTCGCTAATTTTTAACATAACAAAAAATTGACTAGTTTATCTCACTGGAGCAGTAAAAAGGTGACAAAATGCCTATCTTTTTTCTACTATCGGTGATCCAAGTCAGGTAAACGATAAGACGATCTGCGAAGTGAACGTAAAAGAAACACTAACTTTTTTGATTACTTGTTTTTTTAAAATTATATGCAAACTTTTCAATTACTGGAGAGATTAAGTGCCGTAAGTTGTCCCAATTTTCGTGTATTATTTCGAATCAAAACAGAAAATTTGATTTTTTTCTGCATTGATCTCCTTAATTCCCGATAGAGGCATAGTTAGGTAAAATAGAGTCCAAGAAGATATACCCTCGCTTACGTAATCTTTGAAAAATCATAGGTTACCATCCGGATTTCTACCGATGCATGCGCTTCCTACTTAATGAAGAATTCTCATTTGCTCAAAGTGCATTCCATATCTCTGTTTTTCTTGCTTTCAATCCAACATTGCTGTCTGTCTTGCTTCTCCTCCCGAAATAGTGGTACCCATTTTGTTTCTTTGGCTTTTCAAAACTTGCCCTTTCTTATCAACGATGCCTCGTTACGAATCCAGAAAAATGTCTGTTGTTAACTACCAATGCCAAGACGAGCCGTTTTCGCCGTACACAGCTCTCCACAACCATTAGTCACTCGGTCATAGCAATAGAAGTTCTGCAAAACGATAGCCCGTTTCCCGTTCTGCCCAGATCGCGACAGGGGCGACCTCCACTGCCCATCCGGACCCGATTAGATAGCCATCTAAACGTGCGGCCAAGACGAACGAGCGTAACTCGTCGCGTTTCACTGTTGTTTTTCTCCAAACTCATTCGATTCGGTCTTTTCGGCTTCCGTAAGCTCTACGCTTCTCACGTAATCCTGTCCTAGAGGATGCTGCGCTTTGAAGACTTGAGTAAGAAGAAGCAGATTCGTTTGTTTTGCTTTTTGCATAACAGAATGGGCTGCATCACGCTCGTCTTCTCAACAAAAAAAGCTCATTGAAGAGTGTGCGCTGTAGTATAGGACAATCCTGTGCTTTTTATTTCACAAAATACGGCTGCTTTTCTGTATGACCTGGTCGATTCCCATTTAAGTTGGTTCATAAGTCTTGCACCCTAATAATATGTAATTTTCGTTCAAAAATAAGAAAAAACTAAATGTTCTATATCATAACCCTCTCCTAGCTCATACGAGTTAGGAAAGGTTCTACTTCACTGAACACATCGAAAGTTCTTTGAAACAAAATCAAATGTAAAACTTGGAAGACATAACTATCTCTAGAAACAGCCGATCAACACAGTTTACTCTCTGTTGAAAGTATTGATTGTTGAAAACATATTTTCCTAGCAAATATTCAAGGAATTCCGATCCTGCATGTTCTTCATCAGCAAATAATTATTTTTGACTTCATTATTTTTGGATTGTCCTATAAATTATTTCCGATTGCATTTGCACTAAAAATGTACAAACTTATGATCAAACTTATGAGCATATGAACTCCAGATTGCATGAACTATATAATTACGTATTGTGAGACCTTAAAGGCACCGTCCACCCGAATTCTCGACTTCCATGTTTTTGTCGCTTTCGGGCCTTCTGAAGGCCCTGATTTCGAATATGAAGTCGAGAATCCCAAAACCTATTTTGAAGAAAGCGGGACGGGTGGAAATGCAGTTTGCAGGGCTGCGGCGCGGTTACCGCCCGGCGTATATCTGTGCCGCAGCCCCCAAAGCTGCAAAATGGGCGGAGTGACCACCTCTGGATCACGTATCACGTACCTTCCAGAGCGGATTTCTCGCTCCGGAAGCAATCTTTTGCGGAGAAACTTGGGGGTTGGCCTAGTGTGGGGCCCACATTAGTATGCCATTGAACCTCGTGAACCCTCACTTTGGGTGGACGGTGCCTTTAATAGCCATCTTACAAAGCTTGTAGCGTGGTAGCCACCTTGTACAGCTTGCTTTGCTCTTCAAATGTAACCTTTACCAAAGCATAAGGGAAAGTGAGAATGAGTCTACATTGGTGTTGCCGAAAAAACAGCCTATAAAACAGCCTAATACTATGCACATGAAATCTCTAGCTCATAGTCCAAAGAATTTGAATGAACCAGAAGAAAATGCAGTTTTGCGAAACTTTTAGTGCATTATCCAAAACTTGCTACATACTATTCTTGAGACTCCAACTGCAAAATCGGCCCAAGTCAATAGCCATCTACATCTGGTGACATTTGGTGATCACCTACTTATGGCCTCGTATTACTACAATTGCCACTTGAGTACGTTCTTGTAACGAAAATAATCGTGGCCTAGATTGCGATGGTTCTAAGGTCACATTCTCCACCAGTTGACTGCTCAAGGACCGGAAAATACAGTGTTTGTTATGCCTTTTGACCCGTGTAAAACAAAAATCACTAGATATCGGAAAAAACTGATGAGCCGAACCTAAGGTCATAAAATATCCTATTCTTCTTCTTCGCTGGGTGGGAAGATGGGTCTTGATTTTCAAAGATTACTTTAGATGTACTCTATGTTAATTGTGGACGTTTTTTACAACGTTTTCGTGATATAAAATAAGGGAGGGGAGAGACACGTTTGCGTGAAAGAGTTTGTCATTTTTCAATCTTCTTTTTCTCAACTCCTATAAGTGAGAAAAAAGACAGTAAGTATAGGAGCAAAGAGGAAGAAAGTATCCTATCTTCATTTTAGCATGATTTCCTCATGTTTCTTACGAGTTTGATTCAGGAACTATGACGGCTACAAAAGTGATTGTAGTCGAATAAAACATTCCTAATCACATATGTGGGAAAGATCAAAAGAATAGAAGGAAAGGAGAGTTTGCCATTTTCCGATTTCTTTTTTGCTCAATGTATGACCTAATGAAGCACGACAATTGTTAGCTAGAGGTTTAAGAAATGCATGTTACTTTTGTTCAGATTTGAATAATGTTTTGCAAATTACAAGTTTTCTCGTAGATTGAAATAAATATAAACAAATATAAATAATAAATACGATTTTAGTAACAAAAAATTCGTTTTCAGTTCTTAAGGTCTGCATAAAAGATAAGATTCTAATGGACAACCTCTAGAAAAAAACCTATTCATCCATGTTTCAAGCTTGAGAGTGACCAATTTTCCTTTCGATTTTTTCAAACAAGACATGAATGGTGAAAATGCTAATTTTTCCCGATTCTTTTCTTCTTTTTCTTCGCAGATGAAGACTTCCCACTTCTCGCTAGGAATAAGATGGATGACGGATAAGAAGTGTAAGCTTTTATTGACTCTTTGTTTAGATGCCCACACAAGCTCTCTCACATAAGGTGATCAACAATTTTGAAACGTCCTTTCTTTGCAGATAAAGAATTCTTACTCAGTGAGGTAGAACGGAAATAAAAAATCTAAGCCTTTGTTGACTATCTGGATTTTGCGTGAGTTCCCATGTGTCGAAAAATGCAGCTTCTCCACACAATCAGTTCTTCTTAGTTCTTCTTGAGTAATACCGTTTGCACCCCTGCAACCCATTCCTGCACTTTCAATACCAATTTCAAAAGTGCGAAAGGGCACAGAGATGCTGTTCATCTCATTAAAAAAGGCTGGCTCCAGAACAGAGGCCGTAGTCGTTCGAGCAAGTAATGAGTGTTGTTTCGAGTCAGTCGCGCCGTTTCAGTCCGTCTCGCATCCGTTCGGCGAGCGCGTTGTGTACGTTCGGCACACCGCTGTCCGTCCGTTCTTCCTTTCGTCCTTGTTTGTAGCAGCGCGACGTGCGCACCTCATTTGCACACCTGTTTTTCGACAGATTTTTTACTTCACGCATGTAGATCCGCATCGTGGTTGCGGTTTTTGTGGAAGTAAGCTTCGCTAATCGTGAGCTCTTCTTCATCATCATCATCGGATCTTCCATTGGGTAAACAATCGAAGTTCTTCTTTACCTCTCTTTGTGGCGCTATAGACTAGTTTTACATCTCAGCGCATTATTCATATTCTATAAGATTCCTTTCGAGGTTTTTTTTTCTTTATGGAAAAAAGAGATGTTAGTAAGCTTCAACCTCTCCGCTTGTAGAGATGAGCAGTCGGAATGAATATGCGCGAGAAGTGCCGTAATTATATTAGGTCGTTCCGAAAGTTTTTGCGTAAGATTTTCAAAAATTCATAACTCTTTGAATTCTTAACGAATTCGTACGATCAAAATTTTGCTTAAGGGCAGTGTCCGGGCAAAAACTCGATTTTGAGATTTTGTGTTTACCCGGGCCTATTTCCTATGCTGAATCCGAATATCCACATTGGAAAGCGCGAAAACGGCGAAGACGGGCTCTAACACAGGAGTAAAATCAAAAGTGGGCGGGGTCTTCCCCAGGGTGAATTCACGGTCCCAGCTCCCGGAGCGATCTTTTCGCTTCCGACTTCAAATCATGATTCGCACTTGGTCCGTTGAGATGTCAGGACGGTTAGTGGAATTGAAAAGATCGCTCTGAAAGCTGGGACCGTGAATTCACCTTGGGGAAGACCCCGCCCACTTTTGATTTTACTCCTGCGTTAGAGCCCTTCTTCGCCGTTTTCGCGCTTTCCAATGTGGATTTTCGGATTCAGCATAGCGAATAGGCCCGGGTAAGCACAAAATCTCAAAATCGACTTTTTGCCCGGACGCTGCCTTTAGGAAAGGAACTCATGCTCTTCACATCTGTGCCTGAATTGTTTGTTAATGTGTACAAATGAAGGAGATAGAAGCTAAAAACCGAAGTCACTCAAAATTTGAATTTTTCGTGTAGGGTCATAAAAAGTCGGAAACTTG